GTAATATTAAAATAATAAATTTTTATAACCCATGTAGATTGTTAGAGAGGGAACAGTTAGAAGAGATATGGGAGGGTATTAATGGAAAAACTATCTGGTGTGGAGATTTTAATGCACACAGTACATTATGGGGTAACAGAAATGATAATAATGGGAGAGTAATTGAAGAATTTATTGAAGAAGAAGAGCTAGTGTGCATTAATGACGGGACAGGAACTAGATTGAATACAGCAAGAGGCACAGAATCAGCAATAGATATTACAATAGTTACAAAAGATATTGCAGATAGGTGTGAATGGGAGGTATTAAGAGGTAACACAGTTGGAAGTGACCATTACCCAATCAAAACTCAAGTAGGAATAGAATGCGCAAAAGAAATTGAAGTGAGAGAGGAGAAATGGATTTTAGAAAGAGCAGATTGGGATAAATTTAGGGAAATCAGTGAAGATTTGTTGCAAAAGATTGAGGATAACTTAGATGTTGAAAATATGTGTAAAAGAATTAGTGGGGGAATAATTGAGGCAGCAAAAATGGCAATACCTAAATCAAAACCTAAAATAATTAATAAAATTGTTCCATGGTGGACAAAGGAGTGTAGAAAAGCTATAAAGGAGAGAAACAAAGCTTTTAAAAAAATGAAAACGACACACAACTTTCAAAATCTCATGAAATACAAACAAGCACAGGCAATAGTTAGGAAAACGGTTAAAAAATCAAAAAAAGAATATTGGAGACAATTTTGTGAGTCAATTGGTAGAACAACGCCAGTAGAGAGAGTATGGGGAATGATCAAAAAAATGAAAGGAAATGGAAAAGAATATGGATATCCAATGCTGATGGATGGGCAGAGGGTTATTATTAATAATAAAGAGAAAGCAGAAATTATAGCAAGAACATTAATTAAAGTACACAGCACAGACAATTTAAGCCAAGAGGAAAAAAGAGGGAGGGTGGAGACTTATGAAAGATATCAGTTTGATTTAGGGAAAGATGACGGGGATCAGGTACTAAATATAAATTTCTCAGGGACTGAGCTGAGTAGGGCATTAAAGAAATTAGGGAAAACGGCTCCAGGGAGAGATGGAATTTGTTATACTATGTTAGAAAACCTAACTGATAAAGGAAAGGAGGTGCTGTTGAAGTTGTATAACAAGATATGGGAGGTAGGAGTTATTCCAAAAGAATGGAAAAAAGCAGTTATCATTCCCATTAAAAAGCCTGGGAAAGATCCCAAACAGCCAACCAGTTATAGACCAATAGCCCTAACATCGCATATTGGAAAAACGATGGAAAGAATGATTAATGACAGATTAGTGTACTGGGTTGAAACTAAAAGAAAGATAGGAAATTATCAAAGTGGATTTAGGAAAGGTAGAGGGACAATGGATCCAATATTGAGGCTTGAAGATGATATTAAAAAAGCACAGGTTAACAGGGAATCAGTAATAGCGGTGTTATTAGACATAGAGAAAGCATATGACATGTTGTGGAGAGATGGAGTGTTAATTAAACTTAACCAAATAGGAGTTAAAGGACGCATATTGAGATGGGTGAAAGAATTTTTATCAGAAAGATCCATAACAGTTAAAATAAATGGTACATTTAGTGAATGTTACAGTGTTGAAAATGGCACACCACAAGGGAGCATTATTAGCCCTTTTTTGTTTTCTATAATGTTTGATGGGATCTTTAAGGAGATAGAAAATAATACAGGAGTTGCATTATTTGCTGATGATGGTGCGATTTGGAAAAGAGGGAGAAACATAACATTTATAATGAAGAAAATGCAACAGATATTAAATACAGTGCAGGAATGGACAGTTAAGTGGGGATTTAGAATATCTCAAGAAAAAACTAAAGCCATGTTATTTACCAAAAAGAAAATAAGAGAGGATTTAAAATTGAAATTGGGAGGTAAAGATTTGGAGAATGTTGAATCTTTTAAATATCTGGGATTGTGGTTTGATAGGAGACTTACATGGAACACACATATTAGTAAAATGGTGGATAAATGTAAAAGAGTGTTAAATGTAATGAGGTGCCTATGTGGTGTAGACTGGGGTGCTAGTAGAGTGGCATTAAAAACAATTTATACAGGGTTGATAAGATCAGTGATCGATTATGGATGTATGGTGTATGGATCAGCTGCTAATACAACATTAAAACAGCTAGATGTAATCCAAAACCAAGCATTAAGAGTATGCTGTGGAGCCATGAAAACCACACCGGTAGCAGCATTACAGGTTGAAATGGGAGAGATGCCTCTACACCTTAGGAGAGATCAGCTGGAGGTAGTATACTGGGCGAACTTGAAAGGCCATAATGAAAATCACATAGCACAGACAGTTCTGATGCAATGCCAAGAACGAGAGAAACGGGGCATTAAAGGGTATGGATGGACAATACAACAAAAAATAAATGATATGGAAATAGATACAATAAAAATTTCGCCCACTATAGTATTTCCAGTAGTTCCCACATGGCTGCTTGATGACTTGGAAGTTGATTTTGAAATAATGAAAGAAAAACAAGAAAATGAGATTGACAGCAAACAAGTGGAAAATTATATAAGAGAAAAATACAGTGAAACAACTGAAATATACACAGATGCATCAAGAATTGGACAAAGGGTAGGAGTGTCATTCAGTATTCCAAAGTTAAAAATTGAAGTTACAAAAAGAATTAATAATAATTTAGCAGTTTATACAGCAGAATTGGTAGCGATATGGTTGGCTCTAAAGTGGGTAGAGGACAATAAACCAATTAAAGCAGTCATTGCGTCTGATTCAAGTTCAGCACTCATAAGTATTAAAAATGTAGTATCAGAATCACGGCAGGACATAATATATGAAATAGTACAGTTGGGAAATAATATCATTAAATCAGGAGTTATCATTTCATTATTGTGGGTACCAGCGCACATAGGGGTTAGTGGAAATGAGATGGCAGACAAGTTGGCTAAACAAGCAGCACAGCAAACTATGATAGACATGGACATCAAATACAGCAAGTCAGAAATCAAAAGTATAGTTAAAACCAAAATATTAGGAAAATGGCAACATATATGGAATAATGGGAGTACAGGACGTCAATATTACACCATACAGAACATAGTTGGGAAAGGTAGGGAAACAAGGAAAAACAAAAAGGAAGAAGACAAGTTCTCAAGAATGAGATTTAATCACACATCACTCAATAGCACACTACATATGATCAACAAACATGCAGATGGGATGTGTGAATGTAACAACCAGGAAACTGTAGAACATGTATTAATGCACTGCCCAATATATCAGACAGAAAGAAATATATTATTCACACAGTTACAGGAACAACAAGTGGAACCTAACATAAAGAACATACTAAAGTTGAGCACGGGTGATGTATGTTTTAGATATGTTTATAACTATTTGAAAGACACAGGGTTGATTAATAGAATTTAGTATTTAGATGAATAGTTATCTATATCATATAGAGGTATTATACAGAAAGAAATATCAAATATTGGGACATTTAGTCATTTATTTATATGTATAGGAAAAAGAATTAAAAATTTTATTTTAAATTGTTTTTTTTATGGTTGGGCTTTGTTTAACTATAAAACATGGTTTAGTTAACTCCGGATCCACACTCCAATCCAGATGGTGGCGGTAATGCACCAAAAGCTGGTTGCCAACCGCCATAAAACACACAAGAAGAAGAAGAAGAACATTAACCCCATAAGAAGAAGAAGAAAGGTAGAAACATGTTACTCTGTATGACAAGGAGGCAAATCAGCTTCTAACGCCGAGAGGGTTATTTTACCTTTATCTAACTCTAGAATTTTAACACTTTACTTTGAATTACCACAACACTTGAAATTTAACACCAATGAATTTGCTGTGTAAGTTTACATATATATATATATATATATATATATATATATATATATATATATATATATATATAAGAAATGGAGTACTAGTTTTAATCAGCTATTTTGTGGCTATAGTTTATATAAAGTAATGAATACTTTTTACATGAAGGACACCTATTTTACCTCCTTTTCTGTAAAGTTTCAGCTCCAAACACTCATTAGGATATTTGTTATACCTTTTAGAATGTTGAGATTTTTGCTTTAAACACTTCGACTTAGTGGATTAAAAGTTTTTTTTAATTGTCTTAAAATGTTTAGAGTAAAGGTTTTGATCAACTCCAAATACTGAATATATGTGCGCCAGTGAGAAAATGGAAACGAGGGAGAAATGTATCAGTAGTCATGACTGCAACAGTAAGTGGCAAAAAAAGGTTTAAAAGACTTTTATTTTGGCGTGACGAGTGACGTCATAAGCCTGCGCCGTTCCAGCGCAGTGATTCAACTGGATAAAGGTTTGTTTTAAAGCGTTTACACTTCTATAAACCGATTGATTAAAGTTTCAGTTTTTTTTCATTCAGTGCTAAAGTATGTACCTGCTGTTGACAATATTATTTTAAACCTTTATACAACATAGCCCTCATTACTGTGAGTAAAATAGTACAATTGTTTGAATAAAGATAGGATAAACTTTTTGTCCTCAAGAGGAAATTTGTCTTGTGTAAAAAAAGTGCTACACATTGCTGTAAGCAGACAATAAGCTAAATAAAACAAACAAAACCATTAAGAACATACATAAAGAATAAAGTTTAAAAAAAAAGTTACAGAGATGTGTATAATAAGTTCTTTATTGAAAAATTAATTTATTAAATAGTATAATGTCATTCCATTCTGAGTTTACAACTATATAAGAAATGGAGTAACGTTACTAGTTTTAATTTTTTACAATTTTTTTGTGGATATTGTTTCTTGCTCAAACTTACCTGATTTCTTTTTTTAATTACTCTTCTATAAAGAAACTGTTGAAGTAAGTATTAAGAAGGTATTTTGTTTCTGTTCATTGTTTTATTTACTTTAAACAGGATAAAGTGTCCAAACTCAGAGAAAAACTCCTGCTGAAGTGACTGATCTCCACACTGTTATAAAGATGGCGTTTATTAAAGAGGAGAGTGAAGATGTGAAGATTGAAGAAACATTCACAGTCAAACAGGAAGATCTGCAGGAACAAACAGGTTAATTTTTATTCTCAAAGACCAACTCAGTCATTTGATCCTCATTCAGATATTTTAATAATAAGAATATTTAAATAAATCCATCTGAGTGTGCTGCCTAGTTCTCCTAAATGCACACAAGCACTCATGAGCTATGTTTCCATCCAAAAATGCAAATAAACTTTATGCACAAAACTAGATTATTGCATAAAAGATATGCAAATAAAGCTCAATGATTTCCATTCAAATGAAATCAAATCACTTTTATTGTCACATCAGCAGCAGCACGTGTGCTATGATGAGTGGAAAGCTTAGGTGCTGGCTCCAGACAGTACAAAATACAGACAGTACAAATACAACAACAGTGCAAAATACAAACAGTGCAAATACAATGCCAGAGTCAAAGCGAACAAAATCATCACTTCCTGATTAACTGGTGCCAAATATCAACAGTAAAAATGGAATTTGCTGCGATAAAAGAAGCTGCATCAATAGCCGCGTTTCCACTATCTTGTCTAAAGCAAGCGAGACAGGGCGAGCCAAGGCCAGTCGCGTTTCCACTGTCACTTCCTGGGCCTAATCGAGCCAAAGCGGGGCTTTCTCGGGGCCAGTGGCCGGCCTTTTTTGGCCCGCCGAATACCTTGGGCCAAAGAGGGCCAGCTGGGGCTTCGGGGCGGAGTGAAAGGAGAGGCAGACACTAGTTTTCCGATCGCACACGAGTACATGCACCAAACAAATAACCAAATAAATAATAATAAATAAGGAGAAGAAAACATCTAGCCTTTTAGGCTGGGGTCTTTTTGCGTATGATCACCCTTATGTTTCCCTTTTAAATGTAAGGCTGTTGCATAAAATAATAAAGTTTTCATTTATAAGTGACTGTGCTGCATCCTCCTTGATGTTTCAATAACGCATAATAATCTTTACACCGTATTTAAGACACAGCAGACAGTAAAGGTTATCGAGAGTTTTTGTCAAGTTTAAAAGGTGTTTGTGCACGTTTAGATGCCTGTATGTGAATGTGAGACCGAGCTAAAGAGCGCTCTCTTCACAGCTCTGTTGATGCTGCGAGCGGCTTCTGTTTTAATTTATTTTGTAGATAATACACAACATAAATACAACAGAAAGACATTAAACTCTACAAATTTCGTGTCCGTTTTTGTAGACTCAAAAACAATAGTGTCATATCCTAATAAAATAGCCTAAGATATATTGAAATAATTTGAATAATTACAAATGTTGCATATAATAAAATCACATAAAATAAATAAACCAATATAAAACAAATAAAATCTATTTATAATAATTTAGGTAGCCCATAAACAGTACATAAATCAAACCATTTAAACCCATATTAAACTTTCATTTTACAAAGGCCTATCTGAAAAAAAGATTTTAGATATTTTCTAAAACAATAAACACCGGAGGAGGTTTGAAATATTATTTATAAAGTATATGAAACGATGATATTAATCAAATCATGTAAACAGAGCATTTTATGGGTGAGTGAAAGCAGAAACTAGGCTATCTTTTTATCTGTCATGCATGCATTATCCGCCTGATTCCCGCTGCAGTGGGCGGGTTGTGTGACGTTTGATTTGGAGGACGTTCTGGGGGCGGGGTTTTCATGACACGCTGCGAGGTGCTAGCCCGACAGTGGAAACGCGACATGATTTCTGCCTCACTGCTCAACCCTCCCTTGCGATTGGCCCGGCCCTGCATGATAAAAGCCCTGGCTTGCACATGCCCGACAGTGGAAATGCGGCTAATCTTTTCTTCATCTAATAAATGACTTGCGCCTCAGAGGGTGATCCTGAAACGCAGTGAACGCGCGGTGGCGTTTAAAGGTGTCAGACACGAAGATGCTCTTAATTCTGGAGGTCATGAATAATATAATAACACTAATACTTAAACTGTAAGGCGTTTAAGAATGATCAAAACAAGAGTTCAGATGTTTTATAATGTACTGAGCCGGCTGGTTTGTCCATTAATACACATTTTTATCATCACATGATCTCTTATAACAAAATCACAAGACCTTTTTAATCCACATACTGGAGTTTGTATCGTGTTTTCCATCGTGATTTTTTATCTTTTCTTATCGAATAAAACGTTTATCCAACTCAGTTATGCGCATACTTAGTTTTTTTTGCATCATGGTGTTTCCATAAACCGTTTTTTTTATGTGCATAAAAATAGGTGGATGGAAACATAACTATTGAAAGACAGGAATGAGTTTCTCTCTTGTTACTTGTTCTCGTGTCTTTTGTCATTATTTTATTTATTATTAGTCTCCCATTTTCTCTACCTTCTTAAGGTCATTGCTTTTCTTGTTATCCTACTGTTTATAAAGCGTCCTGGAGCACCAGCGCTATATAAAATAAATAAAAACAACTAATAATAAAAAAAAAAAACTTAAACTGAGCTGAAGATATTTGACCTACAGTATTCTCATAGAAGATATCTGCTATTACAGTGATGGTGTTGGCTTAGTACTTTCCATTTGCATATGTCACATTGATCCAAATTAACTTTTTTCATCGACTTCTTTATTGGTTTAAAATTGTTTCTAGTAGTTGTTACTAGTTCTCACAGATAGTATCTGAGTTAGAATTACATCATTATTATAATAACTAATTACCAGGGCTATTGTGTTTAACCAGGGTTTCTGCGGGGTCTTAAAATGTCGTAAATTCCAAAATCAAAATTTTCGGCCTTAAAAAGTCTTAAATTTACTGAAATGTTGTGTTGTAGGTCTTTAATCTTTTTTAAACAAGTCTTCATTTTCCTTTTTTTATCTTTTGCTACCTAATCTGGCCAAAACCCCTACAATAACCATCAATCCATCTCAATAAAACTTTCCACTTTTTATTCAAAAAGGTCATTTTAACTCTATTTATTATAATGGTTTAATAATTTTCCTTACAATAACATTTGTTTAAACGTGCTCCATGTATTTACTACTGAAGACATCGAGGACAGATTGTTGTGTAGATTTTAGTTTGTTATTGTTTTTAAAACATTTAAAACGTTTGTTTATTTTTAATTATTTGATATTAATGAAAGTTTATTTAGGAAAATAAGTGTGTGGATACAAGTAAAGCTTGCTTGTTATTACACACAATTTAAAATCTTTTGCTAAGAAATATCTATAATATATATTTTTAATTTATTTATTATTGTATTATTAAATGTATTAAATTATAAATTTTTTTAATAAGGCAAATTAAAATGTTTTCATCTGAGCTATGCCATTTTAAATTGTAAAGAAATCTGTGTTTATAAAACAAATGAAGACAACAGAAGTCAAGTATTCAAATTGAGTGATTTAAGCCTGGTTTATACTTCTGCGTCAAGTGACCGGCGTAACTCACGTCGCAGGCAACGCGCGCAGCTGTGCATTTATACTTCTGCGCGCTGTCTCTGTTGGTCTGCATTAACACTTCCGAAACGCTAGTTGGCAGTGAGGTGTAAATGTTCCTCTGTGTCGAGTTTCTTTGCTTCTGTTTTGCTTTTCCTGAACACTTCCTGGTTGTACAAGTGACTCAAACTCGCTCATTTTGAGGCAGGAACCGGCGGACGTGCAACAACTTTAACTATGAGGTAAACACGAAACAAAACTTTCCATCCGGAGCTCCTTCACGGTACTCCACACTTGTAAACAATCGCTCGCGCCGTTCGCGCGGCTCTTGGTCCCGCCCAGACTCGTCAGTGCTACAAAGCCGACCAATCACAGAGCTTGCGCTACGCGTTGTTGCGACGTGTAGTTACATTTTTTGAGAGGTGCACGTCAGTGACGCCGACGGCCACGGCGAAGGGCTATGCGTCAGCGATGTAGCATATGCCGGCGTTTGACGCAGAAGTATAAATCAGCCTTTAGCCTGACATGTTTATTGCTCCAAAATACTTTAAAAGTTTCTCAAAAGAAAATGTTTTGTGTTCAAAGAGGAAAAAGTGTTTTTTTTTTTTTTTACCCAGACATTTAAAAGAATATATTTAAGAGGAGTAATCGCAGTACCTTGAAACTGTGATATTTTTTTATTCAAGGTTATCATACTGTCAGAATCTTATACTGGCCCATGCCTAATGCTGCTTATTGTAGCAAAGTCATATTTTCTTATTTTATTGTTTTAAAGGTTTGTTATAAGAGATCATATGATGATGAAAATGTGTGTGAATGCACAAACCAGCAGGCTGAGAACATTATAAACATCTGAAATGTTGTTTTGGTCATTCTAAAACACCTGAACCGTTTCAGTATTCATGTTATTATATTATTAATGACCTCCAGAGCATCTGTTCTCTGCGTCTCATTGCTTCAAACGCCAACACGTGTTCATTGTGTGCCAGCATTGTCCTCTGAGCTGTCATTTAAATAAAAGATTCATGTAGCTTTTTCTACCGCAGTAAATTCTGTTTTTACTGTTCTTAATTGGGGCCTGTTAATCAGGAAGTGACGATTTTGTTCTCTTTGATGCATTGGATGGAAACGCAGCTTTATTTGCACATCTTTTATGTGACATGCCAGTTTTGCGCATAAATTTAATTCGCATTTTTTGATGGAAACATAGCTATTGCCTACATTTCAGTTACACAAAGAACAAAGTCACATAGCAGTATAGCTAGTCCTTTCTTAATGAATAATTAGCTTAAATTTACTAACCTTTGAAGGACATGTACTGTAACTAGATTAATGAGATTATTACTAGTTCTAAAAAGATTTTTTAGTCCTGCTTACATTCTAAATGTCAAATCAACCTCTACCACTTGATAGGGCTGTGCAATTAATCGAAAATCTGGTTTCAATTTCGATTTTGGCTTCTAATGATTATGAAAAACCATTAATCGAGATAAAAGATTATTCCATCATATACTACACACACCTAACGCCATCTTAATCTGAGCGCTTTAATGGTCAAATGCATGCAAATTTGGGTCAGAGTGCTGTGTTTAGTGAATATTCATATTAACTTTTATTTGTGTAATAAACAAACAAGTTGAGAATCAAAAGACATGTGAAAGAGAAACCATATCAGAGCCGCACTTTTCTTAAAGTGACAGTGCGCAATATTTCTGCTGCCGACTGTTTTTAGCATTAATCAAACAACAAAAGGAGAAAATCACTCACTGCTCTTGACTGAAAGACTTTTGTAGCTCTAATGTTTTTCTGAATTTGAAAACTCTGAGTATTTAATCTCTCGGTAAATCAACTCAGAGTTCAAGTTTAAACTCTGAGTTGGTTAAACCTCCTTACTGAAACAGGCCCCAGGTCATCATGACATGATTGACAATTGTCACTGTTTGTCATTGTACTCTGTTTATCCTGAGAGCTGATGCTGAGTATTCTTAGGGCTTTTCACACTTCAAATTGTTAACCCTGGGTCATTCTAACCCTGGATAAATTCTGGGTTATTTTTAGTCACCTTCCACACTGCTCATGCTATACATGGGTTTAAAAAATAATCCTGGGTGTTCATTAACAGACAGTTCACATTTGTAAACCCTGGGTTATCATTATTATTTTGTATATTTAAAGTCACAGGCACAAAAAGAGCTTGGTTTTCCTCTGACCCCCAAAATTAATTATTCTACAAGTTATATGATCTGATTTTGAGCTGAAACCTCAGACACAATCTGGGAACACCAAAGACTTATTTTACATCTTGTAAAAAATGGGTAATTGTAGGAACCTTTTAAAGGGATAGTTAATGCAGAAATGAAAATAGCCTCACCATTTACTCTTCCTCATGTGGTTTTAAACATTTATGAGTTTCTTAATCCTGTTGAACACAAAAGAAGATATTAAAAAAAGAAGAAAAAAAACCTACTGGCTTACTGTGTTCCACAATAAAGGAAATGTCTAAAACTACATGACGGAGAGTAAATGGTAAGGTCATTTTCATTTGTGGGTGAAACATCCATTTCTTGCTTGTCGCTTTGAGCCTTCATACTAAAGCTATTTTTTTTTTTAGATCTGATGGTGCTGAAAGAAGAGACTCATGGACAGAATGAAATAGATGAGAAACAGCAGTTTGAGAAACCCCAAGAAATAATGACTGATGAAAAACCCACACTGACTAAAAAGACTTCATCACACGGAAGACCTCGGAAATCCAAATCTGGGTGTAATTTCAGCTGTAAACAGTGTAGTAAGAGTTTCAGTCAGAAGTCAAAGCTTGATGTTCACATGAGAGTTCACACTAGGGAGCAACCTTTCACCTGCGAACAGTGTGGAAAGAGTTTTGGTCAAAAACAAGGCTTTAAAGCCCACATGAGAATTCACACTGGAAAGAGGAAGTTCACATGCCAACAGTGTGGAAAAAGCTTTTATCATGCTGGAAACTTTGCAGCACACATGAGAATTCACACTGGGGAGAAGCCTTTCAGCTGTAAGCAGTGTGGAAAGAGTTTCTGTCATAAGCCAAACCTTGATGTTCACATGAGAGTTCACACAGGGGAGAAACCTTACACCTGCGAACAGTGTGGAAGGAGTTTTGGTCAAAAACAAAGCTTTAATACTCACATGAGAATTCACACTGGAAAGAGGCCGTGCACATGCCAACAGTGTGAAAAAAGCTTCTATAATGCAAGAAGCCTTGCAGCACACATGATAACTCACACTGGAGAGAGGCCTTTTAGCTGTATACTTTGTGGAAAGAGTTTCAGTCTAAAGCTGACCCTGATTGCTCACATGAGAGTTCACACTAGGGAGAAACCTCACATCTGCGAACAGTGTGGAAAGAGTTTTGGTCAAAAACAAGACCTTGACATCCACATGAGGATTCACACTGGAGAGAAACCTTACACATGCACAGAGTGTGGTAAAAGTTTTCCACATATAAGCTCACTCAAACACCACATTAGAACTCACACCGGAGAGAAGCCGTTTACATGTGCTCAGTGTGGAAAGAGCTTCACAACCAAAACTAGCCTCAAGAACCACATGAATGGTCACACTGGAACCATAGTGTTCACATGTGATCAGTGTGGAAAGAGTCTCACACGGAAAGACTCCATTACGAAACATATGAAGATTCACTCAAGAGAGGATCGTTTTAGATGCAGTGAATGTGGAAAGGGCTTTAAAAGTAAAAGAAGCCTCAACACTCACATGAAGCTTCACAATGGAGAGCAGAATCCTCAACATTGAGGCCTTGTCCACACAAACACGGGTATATTCAAAACGGCAGCTTGTTGATGTAGTTTGTCTGTTCATTCAAGTGAAGATTATTTATAAACTACTTTCGAGAGGATCACATGCTTATGATTGTCAACGGCTGGTCCTGCATTAGCTAAAACATGATTCACCAATCAGATGATTCCTGACTCACTATAGATAACCAGAACACAAAGCTGCGGTCACACTAGACTTTGAGATTGTGAAATTCTGCCATACGGCGCTGTGGAAAGGGGCGGGATCAAACAAGATTTTTAGAAATTAAAAAAGTGAGCAATTGCTCCATGGTTTAAATTTCTGTCCAGAGAGGTCATGTTTTGATCCTCGATTGGTCTCACGCAGTCAAGTGATGTGATTTCGCAGGTCAGAGTTCACCAAGCATGAACTTTGCACCTCAGCAACCGGTGAAACTTGACGCATGACCCTGTTTCTAGTCTGACGCATTCTTGTGCGTATGAATGGAAGTCTATGGGAGGAAAAGCCCAGTGTGACCGTAGCTTAACTCAGTTATCCTTGTCTTGCAGAATCCCTCTCCCACCCTTACTCCCCCCCCTTTCTAGATTGGGCAACACAGCAGCCAATGATTAGCCAGTGGTTAGCAATGTTGCCTCACAGTAAGAATGTCGCAGGTTAAAGTCGCTGCTAACCAGTTGACTTTTTGTGCAGAGTTTGCTCATTCTCCCTGTGCTCGCGTGGATTTCCCCTGATTTTCTCCCACAGTCCAAAAACACACAACCTAAGTAAACTGAACATTAAATTGGCACCATAGTCGAGCTCTTAGTAAGCCTTATATCTCCCTTTAGCCGATCTACCTGAGCTCACACTCCCCTCTCGTCCTGCTAATGGGAGGGAGCCCAGGGCTTGAGGATCTTATAAGCTTAGGTCTCTCCCGGGACAGCATGCCAAACAAGTGTGAACTCTTGAATGCATATCAAGTTACTGATAATGAAACCCTTTGAACACCTGAAAATTTAAACTCAACTGAAGAGGGATGAAGATTTTGCCAGCTGTTTTGTAGTGTAGATCAGGGGTCACAGCCCAGTACCAGGTTGTGAGAGTTGCTATCGGGCTGCAAGAAGGCAAAATAACTCTATATGTTGATATATTGTATTGGCTTGTTTCATATGCAACAAGTATCTACTTCTGATAAGGTGTGAACCAAATAACCTACAGGAACTCAAGAGATGTGACCCATCCAAAGCAGTTGGGTAATCTCCAGGGGGGTTTCATCAGTGTCTCACAGACTGTACTTTGGTTTAAGTTACTTAAAGATGGACAAGTTAACATCAACTAACATTGTTTTCAATAAAGTCTTCTCCCTTTAAGAACTTTGGTCAGCTTACTTATTTTATGCATTAGTCATCTATACATTGGCGAGCCACCCAAGAACGGTTAAGCCAAATACAGTAAAATCTGAAAATGTGCTTCAACTTATTATGAACCGATCACCTTATTTGTGCAGGGTTCCACACAATTCTTTCATGTTGTCACAACACAAATTAAGTTAACTTAACACTTTTAAAAAATGTATGTCGACTGAACATTAAGTTGTCCCAATGAAATCTCAATAATTGTGTTATTTCAGCACATTTTAATTAAGTAGTTTGAACAAGTAAAAAAAAAAAAATTTCTGTATAATGGAGATGAGATTTTTTCGGCACATTTTTAAACATAATAGTTTTAATAACTAATCTCTAATAACTGATTTATTTTATGTTTGACATGATGACAGTAAATTAGACAAGTTATTGTATAAGGATGGTTTGTTCTGTAGACTATTGGGGAAAAAATAGCTTAAAGGGGCTAATGGTTTTGTCTTTAAAATGGTTTAAGTATAAAGTTTAGAATAAAAAACAGCTTTTATTCGAGCTGAAATAAAACAAATAATACTTTCTCCAGAAGAAAAGAGAAAGAGGAGACTTTTTTTTAGCCTAATATGAGTTTATGAATCTTAAAGTCACACTTTAAAAGAAACTCCATACCACCAACTTTTTTAAAATAAGATTTGGGATTATACACTACATCTAATTTTTATGTTTTTATTAATTTATTTATTTTTATTAAATGTTCAAAAAATATGCAAACCAAGTAGGCATTACATGCATAAACAAGGAAGAAGTAATACAATTACAATAATAGGCAGACACAAATATAGGAAAAAAATTGCGTATAGTAATGACACTTGTATTTACCGTAAAAAAGTAAATAAATACAAATTAAATTAATAATAAAACAAAAACAAATATATTAGAAAAGTTTATGCAATATATGTATACATACACACACACACACACAGTACTGTGCGCTGGTCAGTTGGCATTTCTGTGTGGAGTTTGCATGTTCTCCCAGTGTTCACGTGGGTTTCCTTTGGGTGCTCTGGTTTTCCCCACAATCGAAAAAACATGTGGTACAGGTGAATTGGGTAAGCTAAATTGTCTACTATATGCAAGAAAAAGAGAAAGGGGGGGGTTTTAATAGGTTTAGATTTGGAGAAGGCTTTTGACAGGGTAGAGCATGATTTTTTATTTGCAGTTCTTAAGGAGTTTGGTTTTGGGAAAATTTTAGAAAATGGATTCAAATTTTTTTATACAGATATTTTAACTTGTATTAAATGTATTTTTTTTTTTAACAGAATGTCTTCAACCAACTAGATCAATAAGGCAAGGATGTCCATTGACTGCTTTATTATACACACTGGAAGCTGAGCCACTGGGATTGGCAATAAAATCAGATAGAAGCATTAAAGGGATATAAATAGTAAACAATGACAACAGAGAAGCTGTGTATCAATACGCTGATGATACTACATCGTTGGGGATTTTAGAGCGATATTGTAAAGCATCCGGAGCTAAGGTTAATGTTGGAAAAAGTTTATGCATGAGGGTGGGAAGAGTAAAAGAAATAACACAACATATACCCTTTAAAAAAGAAAAGGAACATACAAAAATGTTGGGAATTTGGGTGGGGATGGATTCTAATAAAGCAGATATTTTAAATTGGGAGAGAGTTTTAAATGGAATTGAGAAAAGACTGAGATTTTGGAAAGCTAGAAATTTGATGTTAAAAGGAAAGTATTCATCTTAAATGCTTTAATGTTGTCAAAGGTCTGGTATGTGTTAAGTGTAACTGCGTTGCCTGAAGTATACTATGAAAAAATAAATGATGTAGTTTTAAAGTTTTTGTGGGGAAATGGAAGAGCCAAGACAGCTAATTATACTTTGATTGGGGAGGTAAAAGAAGGAGGTCTGGGACTTTTGGATAGTTTTTTAAAAATGAAAACATTAACAATTAAGATTATTCAAAGGTTTTTGGAAGGGAAAATGGGTGTGATTTGGAAAAGTGTGTTGGATTATTATTTGAAGAAATGTGGACATTTTAATATGGGATGTAATGTTTTATTGATGAAGATGAAGAAACGGATGATAGCAGGTCTGCCAAAATTTTATGTTGAGGTCTTAGAATCATGAGGGGGATTTTTAGAAAATGTGTTGATTATACCAAAAGCAAGGGCACAGATTTTAGAACAACCACTTTTACTGAATTAAACAATTTTAAGTGAAGGAAATGTTTTATATTTTAAGGAATGGTGGGACGGAGGATTAAGACAAGTTAAAGATGTATTATATGAAGTAATAAAAGGATTTGTACCATTAAAAGTAATTGTGGAGGATGGGTATAAAAGAGTTGTTAAAGGAAAATTACAAAGACAATGTCATGAGTTGAAAAAAGCAATACCAAAAGACTGCATTGTAATAATTGAAAAAAAAAAAAGTTGGGCGATGAAGGTGAATTACCAGAGACCTATTTTAAGAAGAAAAATGGAGAGATCAATGAGCTTATGTACAGTTAAGAGTTTTTACGCTATTTTTAGATAAAAGGCTTTTGTAAGACCTATAGCACTCAACTAATTAACAAAATTTTAATTATTTATTGAGACATATTCGCATATTAATATAAATGAGTAAATAAATAAAATGAATAGTATAAATGAATAAAATGGGTATTAAACAAGATATAATGACCCAAAGGTTGGTGGTTGAAGCCCACCCAGGTACGAATTACGCACTTTGCTGCCGTACAACTGCTAACATGTGCACTGGGCATATATCCTGGGCCACATTCTGTCCAGCGTTACAAGATGAAATCAGGATTTAGTAGAACATTGTCACGGGTCGGGAAGGTATTACTGTAAACGGTGTCTAGCTCTTGAAACAGCTCGGCTAGCACAGTCGGTAAAGTATGAGACTCTCAATCTCAGGGTTGTGGGTTAGAGCCCCAAGTTGGGCGTTTCTGTTACTTTTCTCTCTCTCTCCCAGCAAACTTACATTAGGGTTCATATAGCAGACCTTTTGAGACAAAGTTCCTCGTTTTTACCACTGTAGGTGACCTTTCACTAAGTCGCTGTGGCTCAATCCGTTAGCGCGTTTGGCTGTTAACTGAAAGGTTGGTGGTTCAAGCCCACCCAGGGACGAATTAGGCATTTTGCTGACTTGCAACTGCTAACATGTGCACAGGACATAGATCCTGGGCCACATTCTGTCCAGCGTTACAAGATGAAATCAGGATTTAGCAGAAGATTGTCACGGGTAGGGAAGGTATTACTGTAAACGGTTTCTGGTTCCTAAAAGTGTTTCTCAGCAGCCCGGCTAGCTCAGTCGGTAGAGCATGAGACTCTTAATCTCAGGGTCGTGGGTTCGAGCCCCACGTTGGGCGTTCCTGTTACTTTTCTCTCTCTCTCCCAGCAAACTTACATTAGGGTTCATGTACCAGACTTTGAGACAAAGTTCTGCGTTTCTACCACTGTAGGTGACCTTTCACTAAGTCTCTGTGGTGCAATCGGTTAGCGCGTTTGGCTGTTAACTGAAAGGTTGGTGGTTGAAGCCCACCCAGGGACGAATTAGGCATTTTGCTGACTTGCAACTGCTAACATGTGCACTGGACATAGATCCTGGGCCACATTCTGTCCAGCGTTACAAGATGAAATCAGGATTTAGCAGAACATTGTCACGGGTAGGGAAGGTATTACTGTAAACGGTTTCTGGTTCCTAAAAGAGCTTCTCATCAGCCCGGCTAGCTCAGTCGGTAGATCATGAGACTCTTAATGTCATGGTAGTGGGTTCGAGCCCCTCGTTGGGCGTTCCTGTTACTTTTCTCTCTCTCTCCCAGCAAACTTACATTATGGTTCACGTAGCAGACTTTGAGACAAAGTTCCGCGTTTCTACCACTGTAGGTGACCTTTCACTAAGTCTCTGTGGCGCAATCGGTTAGCGCATTTGGCTGTTAACTGAAAGGTTGGTGGTTCAAGCCCACCCAGGGACGAATTAGGCATTTTGCTGACTTGCAACTGCTAACATGTGCACTGGACATAGATCCTGGGCCACATTCTGTCCAGCGTTACAAGATGAAATCAGGATTTAGCAGAAGATTGTCACGGGTAGAGAAGGTATTACTGTAAATGGTTTCTGGTTCCTAAAAGAGCTTCTCATCAGCCCGGCTAGCTCAGTCGGTAGAGCATGAGACTCTTAATCTCAGGGTCGTGGGTTCGAGCCCCACGTTGGGCGTTCCTGTTACTTTTCTCTCTCTCTCCCAGCAAACTTACATTATGGTTCACGTAGCAGACTTTGAGACAAAGTTACGCGTTTCTATCACTGTAGGTGACTTTTCACTAAGTCTCTGTGGCGCAATCGGTTAGCGCGTTCGGCTGTTAACTGAAAGGTTGGTTGTTCAAGCCCACCCAGGGAC